ACTAGCTGTGTGACCCTAGACAAGTCACTTAACCCCGACTAAACTGATCCTATTTAACTGAAGCATTTGGCACATTTGGAGTCAAAGTTGTCATTTTATGCATAACCCAACCCATACTGGCCAGCAGTTTTCAAGGAATGAAGCACCTCATTTTCTTAGCCACTTGACATGACTGACATCCTATCCCATCCTTACTGGAGAAATTTCAGACAAAAAAGGATGATGGTGGCCCCCCTGAAAAAAATACAGAACTCTTCTACTTCCTATCATGTTGGCAGATTACACTGATGGATATCACGGTGTCATTTGTACTAGGCCTTCAGCTTCCTGTAATTGATGGCAATTATAGTTTCCATTTTGGCACTGAGACTTTAGTACAACCAACTTAATCCACTTTTGCAAATAAAAGAATAAAATAATAGTACTTGAAGGTTTGGAAAGTTTAGTCTAAATCAGGTTTTTAAAAGGAGGGGAAAAAATTATGAACACCTGAACAATAAGGTTTGCAGTGAAACACCAAGAGGCCCTTTAACCTAGTCAAAATCTTAAACACGATTACATACTTAACTGGCAATCTTATGTTAGCAAAAATAACCATTTCTTACTTGCCCTGAATGAGCCTTAACAATGTCCACGTATATAGGTTTAGAAAAATGTTTTATTGCTCATTCCGTTTGCATACCATTAAGGCATATTTGATGGCAAGAGCATTATAGTTCCTAAAGAGTTAATAATAAATCCTGCCCACAGCAACCACACAATTAAGGGCAAGATTAGCAGAGATGAAAAATTTATGCTGAAAATAGCATGATAGCATGGAAAACAAAATAATTTTACTGAGTAGTTGTTTCTGTTGCCATAATCCTAATGACAAACTCGGTTACACTGATAATAGGAGAAAAACTAATTGCAGTGAGGACAGGACAAATCTTTTTTAATCCTCGTTGTCATCTCAACTAAGTCCAAACCCATTTGTATTAACCTTTGCTGACAGAGTCACATGATGGACATAATTTCTTATAATTTACCAGCTATGGATCTAACCTTTCTTCATCAAATATTCATAAAGTCAGGATTCTCAATGATTTCCTGTCTCTCTTCATATTTACAGCATGTTGTCTTCTTCCTTTTTACAGTCATTTGGATACAATTGAAGTCAGATGGAATTAAAGTTAAATGCCTTTAGCAACTAAGGTGCCTAAAAGCAAAGACATAAGCAGTGGACACGTGTTCCTGTGCCCTGAGTCACTCTCACTTGGAGCCCATGCACTGCCCTTCCAAAGCTAAATGCCCTTCTCTGGAGGGGCCCAACATCAGCCAGAGATTAAAATGTCATTGGCCTCACTTGTCCTTGCTAAGCTTGAGAGCACTGCTGCCCAAAGCAGAGGCCCATTCTCTTTTGGGAACCTCCAAAAAGAGACTGATTACCCTCTTCCAATAACTTTAGAGCACAAACTACAGGCCCTATTTTTGAGTGAGTATGCGCAGTGAGACCTAGAAAATGTGCCCTCAGCTGGAATGGTGGACAGCAAAAATGGGCCCTTGGCTTGCAGAAATGTTACCATTTGAAACCCTGGCTATGAGTAAGTATATTCAGAAGAAACATCTGTTTCTACTTTGCATCTTTGTTGCTTTGACAGTTTTCTTGAAAGACAGTTAAGATGAAAGAAGTTTTTTAAAGTTGAGTTTAAAAAAAAAGCATAGTAACGGACCTTTCTTCCTTACTCAGACCACTTACAATGCTTTAAGTATTGAAAGGAGTCAACATCAGGAGGTAGGATGGCCAGTGAAGGCATACAGTAATGAGTTCCTTCTCTCCTTTTCAATCCTAAAATGACACTTCTTTCTACAAGAATAGGAAGGCTGTTGCTCTTCGTGAAATTCCCTCCCCCACTCCCCGCCCCATAGTAAGAGGGAAATCTTTTGGTTCACTGGCTACCGAACCCTGTATTGCCTGAGCAGAGAATTTGCTTCCTGATTGCTGAGATCCCCTGAGCCTTGACTGGTGCTGAGGCAGATGGAGCTAAAGGCACAGGACCATTCACTGAATGGGTTAACTAGAGTCATGACCCCAGCTCCTCCGGCAAATGGAGCTTTTGCAAGGAGGTGTAAAAGTTTGAAAAAAATATCTTGACTGCAAGAGAATCTTTACAAGTAAATTGTTTTGAAAAATAATTGTAGTGTCCTGAAAACCCCAAAATGTTTTGTACAAATGGTATCATCAGGCAGTATTTCCTTTTTGGAAGAACTGAAAGAAAGAATTTTCAAAATTTCTTCCCTTAAATCACCTCCACCCACAAAAAATTATCTGAAATAATTTAGTAAATACATCCATTTGGAAAGCTCACTGATGACACAAATGTTTCCAGTGGGGAGAAAAAATATCTCTGTCATTGGGGAATACTCAAGGAAAATATTTCACAGTAGGACATCATTATAACAAAGTTCTTTACGACATGGATTCAACTATATAGTGTGATGGTCTGAAAATATCACGCCCCCCCCCAAAAAAAAACAGAACTGCACCTATGCAAAAACCTAATATGATACAATTCTCTTTTAAGGTAGGTATCAGTTTTCCCTCTCAGGATGGATACTGAAAACAGGTTTCCCTTTATGTACAAGTGTTTACCAGTATGTGTACAGATGACCTGCCAATAAAAACTACAAATTCTCCATCTCAATCCCAAGTAATGAAGCAATACTTGATTAGTAATAATAATAAATAGTTCCCACTAATAAAGACCTTAAAGCACTTTACCCCTTCCCTTCTCCCCAGAAGCAACCATGTTAGGTATTGCTAGTACCATTATCCCTGTTTCACAGATGAGGAAATTGAGATTGGGGAAGTGAAATTATTTATCCAAGTGCATAATAATAATAACAATGATAATAATAATAGCTAACATTTATATAGCTCTTACTATGTGCCAGACATCGTGCTAAACACTTGAAAACAGCTATTTCTCATTTGATCCTCAAAGCAACCCCTGGAGGTAAGTGCTGTTATTATCCCTATTTTACAGATGAGGAAACTGAGGCAAACAGAGGTTAAATGACTTTCCCAGGGGCACACAGCTAGTAAGTACCTGAGGCCAGATTTGAACTCAGGTCTTCTTCATTCCAGGCAGGTGTTTTATCTACTGTAGCATCTTGCTACCTAGGCACAGAGCAAGTGAGTGGTAGAAAGAGAACTTGCGCCCAAACCCTGAAACTCTCTGGACAGTATTGTTATCACACTGTAAGTGACTACTCTTTACTTTACTGAGGCTGCCCCTGGCCTCACTAAAGCATTAGGCCCTTCCAAGTTCATCTCTAGACATAAAGAGTGATTTAAATTGATAGCCCTAAATTGTCCCAAGTCATTCCAATCTCCTATTAGTTCTGCAGAGGAATCATAGTGAGCCCTCAATAAGGTATTCCATGTGAATCCCCAGATGGTCTTGTCTGCCATAAAGTTCTTCTGAAAAGTGTGAATTCCAACTTAGCAGTCTGCAGAGAAATCCAGCCTTCTAGCAGTCCCTCCGCAAGGGCAGGAGGTTATATCGGCTAATCAAGTCATTGCCATGCTGTCCTGACTACCCACTAAGCCCTGGTCATTTCCCAGGTGACCTCTCTCCTGTAATGCTCAGTAAGAGGCTGACTTTCTCCATTAATAGTTTTGTTTGTGAGAACTGGAAAGGTGACTTGTAATAGAGCTCCTTCTTCCCAACTCCCTTATAATGACATTCCGCACAAGCTGATGTCCTTTGATTCAGGATGACCTTCTTAGTTCCAGGAAATCAGAAAGCATTAAGTCTGAAAATGTCACTCCTACAAAGAGTCAGGTGCGACTTTTTTCTACCTCCCTTACCTAGTACATAGCAAGCATGTGGGCCTCTTTCCCTTCCCTGTACAAGGCCGGTTATTCTCTTCTGGAACCAAGTGTGTGGTGATTAGGTGGCCAGAGGCAGTCTTTCCGAGTCTGAGTATTCACCAAGTATGATTTTTAATCCTCTGTGGTTCTCTGTTTGACAGATAAGAAAATTGAGCTTCCTTATCCCTCCCAAGGTCATGCCATAAGCAAATGTTGGTGGCTAGAGAATGAGATAGCCCCAGGACAACAAAGGAATGACAGATTTGAAATTTTAAGTAACTTAAGTGAGGTACTATAAGCCATTGTGACCAAAACCAGGAAAAATGGTAATGATACCATGCTAGAAGTAAATAGTCAACCACCTTTTCCTCAGTCCCTTCTAGAATAGCATTCCCCCAAACTAATTTGGCCATGGCACACTTTGGGATCTACAGAATCCTTTAATACTAGTTGGAAGGTTTGGGGAACATGAGATACTCCACAATGGAGACAATTTGGGGACATTCTGTAGGAAAATTGAGGAAATTAAGCCTATTTTCAAACTGTAAAATTTATATCTATCTATCTACATGTGTATATATATACACACATGTATACATACATACATATATATGTATACATGTATGTGTATACCCTGGAAAATATCACTAGCATTGAAATTTTTCTCACATAACTCCTTTTCACGGTTGAGACCTACAAAGTTACCACTAAAGGTCAAGGTAGCATCCACCTCTGGGGACCCAACCTTCAAATACCATTGCAAGTTGAAGCAATGTCCTAGAGGCGGTGCTACGTAAGTATTTTCACAACACATATTCTGATATTTTTGTGAAGAACATATCACTAACATTAACATTTTCTCGCACATGCCCTATTCGCAGGTGGTAGAATCTCAGGGCTCTGCAGAATAGAATTGGGAAATGTTGGCATAGGGGATGCCCTAGTAGGTGGTGGTAGCTCTAGTGACTGACTCGTTTGTTACTGTAGTCAGCTGCCAACCTTGAAAGTCCATACTGCAGACTTAGTATAGCTCTTTTTTTTTGTCAACTTCCTCATCCTTTGACTCCCAGGATAGCTACAAGTTTTATCCTACGGTGGCATTATTAGAGGCTCAGGTGTAACTTCAGGTGGAAAGATTTCAGAATAGCTGTGTTGTCCATTGAGCAGTTTTGTCCACCTCTTTTATTCAAAGCCATTCTAGAAGCAGCATCAAAGCTTACTCAGAAGGGCAGTTCAGTCTTCTGGGGATCTCAGGATATAGTATTACCATTTTCTGCACATTCTCTCTTGTCCCAACTACCTGAATGTCCACAGCATCTCAGAGAAAAAGAACAGAAGTTGGATGTTAGTGGAGTTCAGAGCCACATATCAGATGGACTGAGAAATATAGAAGGTCCTCAGCATTATGTCTTCTCTTCTATTCCTGAATCAAAAGGAAAAAAAAACGTCAAAGGCATCAGTGATGAAATTCAGAGCCCAAGGAGGGAATATTTTGGTTCCACTAACGAGTTTCAAGGAGGATGTTGCTCTGTATAACCTAAGTTACTGTTCACCCACCACCATACTATGGAGCATAGAGATTTACAGTCTAAGAAGATCTGATCCGTGCCCCTCAAGGAGCCTGCCATCTTCATTCAAAGTACTGTGATGTAGAGAATCAAAGTTCTGCTTGCCAATACATTCTAGAGCAGAAGTCTGATATGGCATTTAGCAACCACCTTTAGCAAAATGGGTAGAACAGGTGAAGGGGAGAAGGAGGGAGGGGAAGAAGTTTGCTTAGTGATCAATGGACCAAGAATGGATGAATCAAATTTCGTTTTTAAATCTGAGGTGTACATATGCCTCACAGGATTATTGTGAGGACTAAATGGGATAATACAGGTAAAACATTTTAAGTTTGGGCTTTCTCTGATTATGTAGGCAGCTAGTAGTGACTTAGTCCTTTCTGTGTTTTGGGTACTGACGAGCTGTTCATGGATTTCTTTAAAGGGGAGAATAGAACTTAAAGATAATGCTCATCAACCATTAGGACATGTGGATTTCCTAAATGAAGCTGAAATAATTGAGGCATTATTTGGCACCTAAAAGTTCATTAAGGAAGCTACAATGTAGTGTCTCTGAATCTAAAAGTCTAGGATAGTAGACCAGCAGCTGAAGAGAAGAGAGAGATACTAGCTCTAATTTGTATAACAAGATGCAAATGATCAACTTTAAAATGGAAGCAATAGACCTTTGCTCCTTCCCATTAAATTGTTGTCCTTTGCCTTGTCTTGTCTGTCTTTCAGATTTATTGCTAGAATGTGCTCCACTTGTCAGTTGTCCATCTTTGACTTTTCAGTCTGTTGAGCCCAGTGTTTCTGGCCTTCCACAATATGCCTCTAATCTGCCTTTCCATTCTTAGTTCATGTTCCCCTCCCTTCACAAACCATATTCCAGCCCAACTTGACTTCTGACTGTTCCCCAAAGTCAACAGTTGATCTAGATTTCCTGCCTCTGTGCCTTTTAATAAGCACTACCCTACATCTGTAGTACACTTCCCCCTCACTGCTGCATCCCAGAATCTCTCTTTTCTTTCAAGGCTTAGTTCAGGTGCCACCTCCTCCATGAAGCCTTCCCTGATCTCCATCCTCTCATTCTCAGGCAAACACCCAGAAAAGTAAGGGAAATTTGCAACAGGACCCCTTCTTCAGCTTTACTTATGATATATTCATATATGTTTGCATTGCCCTCCGTAGCAGAATTTAAGCTTCTAGAGGGAAAGGACTATTTCAAGTGTGCCTTTTTATCCCTAGCACCTAACACAACGTACAGGAAGCACTTTGTTGAGTCAGTCTGCTTTTTCATGACCCTATTTGGAGTTTCCTTGGCAAAGATACAGGAGTGGCTTGCCATTTCCTTCTCCAGCTCATTTTACAGATGAAGAAAATGAGGCGAACAGGGTTAAGTGACTTGTCCAGGGTCACACAACTAGACCCGGCTGAGACCAGATTTGTTTTTTTTGTTGTTTGTTTGTTTTATTTAGGCAATTGGGTTAAGTGACTTGCCCAGGGTCACACAGCTAATAACTGTGTCAAGTGTTTGATCTGAGGCCGGATTTGAACTCTGGTCCTCCTGACTTCAAGGCCGGTGCTCTATCCACTGCGCTACCTAGCTGCCCATCTGAGACCTAACTCCAGGCCTGACATTCTATCCATTGTGCCACTTAACTGCCCCAATAAGCATTTACTCAGTATTTTTGTTTGTGTGTGTTTGTTTTTTAATTGAACTGAGATAATGTTGGGTAGCAAACAGAAGACTGGGCTGTGAATTAGTTCCATCTGTGATGCGAGTCCCTTCTGAGGGAGACATTACTTATGGGCTTTAGAAGTTAATGTAACAAATGTGAATTTTTAGTGGACTCAGTCACCCTTGTTTTGTAGCTTCCTCCAGCAGTATTCAACAGCATGTGAGAGGAAAGGAGAAGGCAGAAGGTATAGAATATTGGGATTTGTAAAGGTATACATAATGATGGGAAAGGAGGCAAGGGATTGAATGGTCAAAGACAAGCAAAGTATGAACTGGTTAATATAATACTTGTAGTATCAAGATTTAAAAGGGAAGAAAGTAAGCCTACAAGTAGGCTCATGAATTGGGAAAGCAAATAAGGGCTGATTGATTACAGTCTAGCATATAATAGGTTCTTAAAATATTTGTTGAGGTTATTACAGAAGAAGAATAGGTTTAGGAAGGGTGAAGTAGAGAGAGAAATGTGTAATGAGCAATGGTTCTCAAGGTGTGGTTGAGGGACTCCTGTGGGTCCTTGAGACTCTTTCAGGGGGTCTGTGAGGTCAAAACTATTTTCATAATGATGTTAGATGTTTTAATTTCTAACATGATAAATATCAATAGATACAATCTAGATAAACTAAAGTTCTTTAGGGGGTTAAAAAAAGAAGATATAACAGCTTCATTTTTGCTTATTGTTGCTATCATGTACATTATGTCTTAGCCTGCTATTATGTTACGAGTAAACGAAATTGGATGGCAAGAAGAAAGGAAGGAGGGAGGGAGAGAGATCTCTGGTAGGATTTCTCTTTAAAAACTTGTTATCTAGGAGGGATAATACATTGAGCCTTTTAAAAATCACTGCTACCATGAGTATCTGTCCTTATGTAGTTTGGTTATCTTTTTGGAGTGTCAGGGCATCCCTCCATAAACTCTATTCATTGAATCAAGAGCTGGAATGAAACTTAGAAATGATCTGATCTAACCCACTCATTTTCTAGATAAGGGTCAGAGAGGTTATTTCATTTATCCATGATCCATGGAAGTGGTAGAGCCTGTATTTGAACCTAAATCTTCTTACCCTCTTAATGTACTGTTCTTTCCATTAAACTATACTGCTGTCCTGGGAAGTAGGGAACTCATGAAGCTTGTAAAGAAAGGGTTAACTTTCTTCAAGAGCAAGTAATCCCTGCTCAATGAGTGATGCTGTGGTGGGGGCCTTGGCTGACAGGAGCAGAGGGGAAAGATATTCCATGGCTGAAAAGGAGGACTTGATACCACACAGTGGGGATTTTGTTCCAGTAATTGCATCAAATTGGACCTTCTGCCATGTTGAAAGCATCACATTAATATCACTCATTAAGTCACACGCCTGTATATGTGCCCTCCCAACTGCAGAGTCACTAGCAGAATATATTTTCCTGCAAAGTGTTTGTTTTCATTGTTGGCCTTTTAAAAATAATGAGCTCATTCTATTCAATTGCAAGGAAAGTTACTTTAGACTCCTTTGAAATTGTATATCTTTTGTTGGACAAATTTCTGCAGTAGTTCCCCAGCTTTGTGTGCTGGGGAATCCTACACGGCATACCCTGAAGCTTATAACTCAGCTGCCCCAGACATGGTGCATAGAATCATCCAGCCTGCTTGACCTTTATATTGTTACCTATAGGCAGGGAGAAGCCATGTGAGTTTCAGGTGACCCTCTCATGTAACTGCAGATCAGAGGTCAGCAGCTCCTAAATGTTCAGATGTCAAAGTGGCCCATTCATCACCATTGTTATGTAACTGACAAGCCGACAAATGGACTTGTGTATAAAATTGTTCTCAGCCTTCTATCCAATGGTCTTAAACCCCAGTGGCAGGCCATACATTTGCAGGTATTAAATGGCTCTAGTAGCAAGCTGGGCTCCTGAAGCAGGGAGAAGACTCTAATGAGGTCTATCCTTGGGGCCAGTCTTTCAGATGAGAGAAGTAGGCAGTTCTACTTACGATTATTTAGGATCATAGAATTTAGATTTGAAAGGGATCTCAGAAGTCATTGAATTCAAGACCCTCATTTTACAGGTGAAGAAACTAAGACCCAGAGAGGGAGCATGTCTTGCTCAAAAAGCAACAACAGGATGCAAACCTGAGCAATAGAATGCTGGTATTGGAATCAGGAAGACATAGGTTTGAATCTCACCTCAGACCCTAACTAGCTGTGTGATCCTAGAAAAGTCACTTAACCTGTCTGCCTCAGTTTCCTCATCTGTAAAACGAGGGGTTCAACTCAATGACCTTTAAAATATCTTCCAACTCTAATTATGACTCCAAATCTAGTACTCTTTCTACCCCATCACCATCTGCTTTGTTATGTGAAATCTGGGAAGTCATTTGTCAAAATTTGTCATTTGTCATTCCTTAAGAAACTTCTTGAGAAAAAATTGTTCATTTTTAACTAGGTTAAGCTACTGTTTTATTGGTGGGATGGGGACAAGGGAGGTGGCAGTGCAGGAACAGTAATTTATTAATTACCTAATGCTAACTGGGATTAACATATGATTATTAGCCCATTACTACTTTTTGTCATCCAGCAGAAAACAGGGACTTGAAGGAATGGGATATAGCTGAGATAAGTTTTGATCAAAGAAGGAGTATTTCTTCCCTCCACTTTCTTAACTAAATAACTCATCTTATACTTTAGTTTTTAAAAATGGAGGTTATTTGTACAGAGTTTCCCCTTCTCCAGTCCTCCTCATCTCACATCATTCAGAAATCTTCTCCCTTTATCCCTTCCTTGACTCTGGTCTTAGTGGAGAGGTGCCCCTTCTCTTTGGCAAATCTAAACCCTCAGGACCTTAATCCCACCCACTCCCCACTTTTTTCAGGATCACCTTCACTCTCTTACCTTCAATCTTTCCCTATCTACTGGCCCCTTCCTGGGTGCCTGAAAACACACCTATGTTTCTGTCATCTTTAAAATCCTTCATTTGATCCCAATATCCTCACTAGATATCATCCTTGCCCCTTCTCAGATAAATGCATCTCCATTTGGTGCCTCTCCTTCCTCTATTCTCACTCTCTTTTAAACCCTTTTCAATCTGGCTTCCAGCCTCATCATTCTACAAAGTCACCAATGATCTTTTAACTGCCAAATCTAATGGCCTTTTCTTAGGCCTC